TATTACAATATGTAAGGTGGGAGTGTTTGTCCTATCTGGGACTCCATGCAAGTCACGCGTAAAACGTGGTTTCCTATTCCTAAAGGCAAGACGGGCAGGGGCAGTGGGAAACAGTAAGCAGATCCCTGCTGCGCTCTCCGGCAACGTCCAGCAGCCAAGCGGCGTGCAGGTGATGTCCGCTCACTGGTTCTCGTCCTGGCCCCCAGGGCATGAAGGAGGCCTTGGAGGGAGGGCGGAGGAAGCACAGCAGCTGCTGTGCAGACCAGTCAAACTGTCATTACCCCGCTCACCTGAAATACAGTGGAGTGAAGCCAAGACAACCAGTACCTCTTGCACCGGCAAACCAACAGGCGAAGGCCCACAAAGACGCCAGAGAGAATGGCTCTTCCAACCCTTCCTCCCGTGATGCCCGATCCTTCCTGGCCGGACCGTCAGCCCGCGATATGCCAGGCCTATTCTTAACTTAGTCACAGTCCCCATCCGCGGCGTCATTGCTGACGGGTGGGCGCGTTGTAGAAGCCAAAGTATGCAAACTATATACACGCGGTCAGCCGCGGTTGGCGGCATGCCGCCAAGCACCGAACTCCCAGCTGCAGAGGGCTGCTGGGGCCTGGGGAGAGGATGGGCCTGTGGTCTCAGCCCTGAGCAGCTCTAGGCTTCTTCTGCTCAGGCTCCGCTTCTTCTGCTTATGTGAATCTCTTCTGTGCAGGAGGTAAGGCTCTTGCAGCTGTGCGGCTGTGTGGCCTGCTGGCCGGGGCAGCAGCGTACCGCAGGCTCCAGGTCTGGCCGTGTAGAAGAATTCATGGATGGAAGACGGTGCGCTCTGCACACTGAGCGGCCTCCACGCGGCCTTGGTTCTAGCTTCCGTCGTCTCCTGACAGCTCTCTGCAAGCCGTAAGCGCTGTCCTGCTCCAGGGGTCCACAGCCCCTCCCGGAGACTCCTGCGTCACATCCTCCCGCAGGCCGTGCCCTCGCTCAGTCCTCGCTAAAAGCCACGGACATTCTGTCTGGCCTTGGTGACTAACCGCCTAGAATACAACTAAACGCTTGGTCTATTTATATTGGTGGAATCAGGGTTTAGTTCTCCTGAAAATTACCTTTGATACCAGTTGCAGGTAAGATCTCATGTTCACCATTCACTGCTGACCTTTGGGAGATTGCTGAGCCTCGCTGGTGGCGAATCTCAATTTGCTTGAAAAAGGAGGCCAGAGCAAGAACCCAACAGAGAAGAGCTCCCTTCTAGGACCCTGGCTTCTGAACTACGCCAGGCCCGCACCGCCCCAGGCCCCGCCTCTAGCTGCCCTAAGCCTCGCTCTAGCCCTAGGCTGCGCCCCGTCGGTCGGGCACAGAGTCCGGCGCGGAGCCGCGCGCCCAGTTCGCGGGAGCGCCTGAAAAGCGCATCTCCGGCGCCGTGTTGTTTTTTTGTTGTGTTTTGGACACCGTGTCCACGTTCACTCCAGGGGCGTCTGCGTGGTTGGGCCTTGGGGGCTCGCTCCGTGTTGTCATCAGAGCATTTCTTTTAACCCTGTAATTTCCACGAATTCCTCACTGTTTCCCTCCTCGGGCCAGTTAGATATTATGACAAGGACACCACCACACCTACCAGCTTTTACTTGTCCTCGCTGGAGGAGCTCTTGGCGTGGACGCCGCACATGGATGACGGCTTTAACGTTGCCCTGGAGCCCTTGGAGCGCCGCCAGCCCCCTCTGAGCAGCCAGAGGCCCCGGACCTTGTTGTGCCATGACATGATGGGCGGGTACCTGGACGACAGGTGAGGACCTTGCCTCACGTTGGTTTTGTTGCTTGTTTTCCTGAGGTGGGGGGCTTGAGGGGAGGGAGAGAGTGCCAGGTAGATGGGGGGTCAGGTGCCGGGCGTCTAGACCGGGCTCTGCACTGGCTGGGAGAGAAAGTCAGGCCTTGGCGTTTCATCTGTAAAAAGAGAGGATTGGATTAGGCAATATCTTCTGTCTCTTTCAGCTCTAAAATCATTTGATCTCTCACACTGCTTCAACTTGAAGCCTGGTAAATTGGTGAGGGCATGACAGTAGGGGTTGTCCCCAGACTGCCTGGCCCAGGGCTTCGTGTCTTCACTTGGTCTTATTTCTGTGACTGTCTTCATTCAGCTCTGATCCTGTCCTGGGTCAGTGGGCTCTGGCTTCTGATGCGCAGAGCCATCGCATGCCCCTCCCTCTGCCAGCTGTGGACATTCCATCCAGAGTTGCCATGGAGTCAGCCTAGAGCTTTTAAACGTCCCTAAAACAGTCTTGAGTATTATGGTTGGTGGGAAGGCTTGAGTCAGAGCCTGCCCTCAAGGTAGAGACAGAGAAAGGTGACAAAGCCTTGGGTGCAGCTCACGTGGCTGTCAGCCCCGGCCTCCAAATGCAGGCAGACTGTCCTAGAGGGGCTGTTCACCTCTCTGCATAGAGTGGGAAGCCGGGGACTTGGAGCTTTGACACGGACCTTCTGTTTTCCTTTCCTCTCCCCTTTGTCTGCTCACTGAGGCTAAGTGCTCAGTGCATCTGGATGCAATGGCAGACA